CCCCAAAACCCCAAAACCCCAAAACCCCAAGTATTCCCCTCACCATTGATATTTCCCACTTTTATCCTACCCGCCAGCTAACAAACATGGCTAAGCTAAGAACGTTGGTGAGGTTGGGTGAAGACGGAATTTAGATGAAATTAGGGATTTATTGTTGTGGGTGGAGGAAGTTGTCGATTATTGTGAGCATTTCAGCAGTGGAGTAGTTGAAGTTTAGGGGAGCTTTGATTCCTTGCATGGCAATAGAGTAGATGTCGTAGATTCTGGCGGCCTCTAGTTCGGTGAGGTAGGTCCCGATGTACTTCTTGTCTCTTCTTGAGTTGATCATTGCTTGCCAATGAGAGTTGTTCTTAGAAACACCGATGTATCTAGATCTTCTCCCAAGTGTGACATCTGTAGTCCCTCTAGTCTTTTTTGGTGAACTGAAGAAAGCGGTGATTCCGCTGCTGAGAATCTTTCTGCGCACTCTAATAAGACTTGGCTTTATGTCTAGCTTAGAGGAGCGTGATTTCCTCCTTTTGATATCCTGAGAGTTGTCATCAATATTTTCTGATTGTTCGACTTCTTCTTGACCAAGTTGATGTGTAATATTCTTTTTGTGAATCTTAGATTTTGTACCTGATTTTGAACATCAAGATGATCCATTCATATCTTGCTTACTATCGTTTCTATATTTAAAGAGTAAGAACTTCTAAAATCAAGAGCCTCAGATCATCTTTGTTGGAAGAAAATTTTCATCACTTAATGCTTACCCAATACTAGTGCTTAGCTTCGAATTGATTGAGGAAGTACATAATCACCAATCCTGGCAAATTCAGACGTCCTCAATACTAGGAACAGTGCTATTTATGTGTGAGCAGACTCAATATGCCTCCTCAAGCTGTTTGAGCATGGCTGTATACTCCCAGGCTATGGTAGGAGTTAAGCCAGAGTAACCATTGTTGTTATGGAAATTCATAATAAAAATTATATTAAGTATTTTATCTTTGGACTTAAATATCTATCAAGGATTCTTGCAATCAAGAAATTTTTCCGAAAGTATCAAAATTGGTACAATTTTTCTTTAAAGCAAACTAAGCTGAATATGCTTCTATTATTGATAATAGAGCGAATCTGAAAATTTCTGAAAATTTTAGCTAAGCATATGCAGAATCTTTATTAATCTATCAGAGATGGGGTTAAACTTCTTGGGCTCCTTGCTCTCATACACTTTTAGAGCCACCGTGCGGTGGAGGCATCATACTATGGCTCATCTTACTAAATACAAAAATATCAAATTGGAAGAGAGAAAATCCATGATTCAGAAAATGTTATAACATTCTTATAACGGAGCATTTATCAATATCAAACGAAGACTGTGAATATCTCGATTCATCAGCCTATCTATCTTCTGGAAAATTGATGAATTTTAGTAATTGCAAGGCCTTACTTCTTAAGATAAGACTTTGCTTGATACCATCTTCTCTGGTGGTCCAAACTTTTGATAAACTACCATTAAGCAGCTATTAACCTTATTTAAGAGGTATGAAAACGATTTCTCGCTCAGAAGAGCTCGTTTGGATGACAAAGGAGACATCATTAAAAGCTTAAATGAGAGAGACTCTCAATATGCATGTCCTATCTAGCTTTAAGTAAATTCTTATATAATTCTTCCTAATTTCAGTAAATCTCTTATATTATTAGTGATTCCTTAGCCATTAATATAAAACAATTATGATACATAATTTTAAGGATTTGGAATTACAAACTTGGATTATTTAACTTAATAGCAGAGGCAAGACTTTATGACTAGCAAGAAGCTTATAATAGCTCATCTGATGTCTCAACCATAGATCCTCACTTTGGATTAGTCACTCTGTGATGGTAAAATACGATAAAATAAAATAAGTCCTATTGTAGCACAGCACCTCTAGTAAGGCCCAGCATGAAGCAATGCTTCTAATCTTCCTTTAGTGTTAAACTCGTCTTGAGTAAGCAAGTCTATCCAAAAATTTAGTTCATCGAATTTCTCACTTTTCATGAATCTCAAAATTATATATGAAATTTGGTTAAAGTTCCTCAAAAATTGTCAGATACTACTTTAACTGGAATGAATCGTTCTACAAGCCTTAAGCATGTATGAAAGAGGCTAAAAGCTATAGATTTCATCCTTTGGTATCTTCCTTTGATAATCAGGCTCAACGGGTTGAAATTTCATCAAGAAGAGTGTAGAAATCTACAAAATTAGACAAGATTAATAGTTTGGCTAAAAATATCTCCAAAAACCCCTTATGTTTCTTGAATGAACTTGAGATTCATGAAACTTTCAACAGAGCTAAAGCTGCATTTAATCCCAGATTTATGCTGATCTAATCGAGGCAGAACCTTAGTTGTCAAAGAAGAAGCCCTTTGCTGTTTTCGATAATTTTAAGCATTAAAACATGCCACAAACAGGGATGATTCATGGAGAGAGCTTATAAGCCTGAATTCATAATACCACTCTCCTCATATCCAAAATTCTCAAAAAAATCAAATAATCTCAATAAACTTTGGATTTATACTAAAATTCAATCACTGAACATCTCGCTGGGGTTTTGGGGTTTTGGGGTTTTGGGGTTTTGGGG